TCCCCCCGCGTCCTGCCCCGCTCCTTCCTGGCCGAGACCTAGGCCCGCCTGGCGGCCCAGGACCCTGCGGTGGCACCGGGGCAGCTGCGGGCGCTGGAGGGGGCGGCCGAGGGGCTGCAGGTGCACGTGGCAGTGCTGGGCCCCCGCCGCGCCGGCACCTCCAGCCTGGTGCAGGCCCTAATGGGCTCCCCGCCCCGGCTCCATGACCCTCGTGCCTTCTTCCAGCCACCGCCACCCACTCCGGTGCCGCCCACACCCCACGTGCCACCTGCGCTGCCCAGCGCCGTGCTCTGGGACCTGCCTGGGCCGGGGCCCGATGAGGTGCCTGAGGCCTACGTAACACAGCTGCTGGGCCTGGCACCCTTTGCCTGCCTGGTGCTGGTGCTGCCGGGGCCGCCGGGTGGCAATGATGTGGCGATGGTGCGGGCAGTGCAGGCACGGGCACGGGCGCTGCCTTGCCTGGTGGTGCGGACGGGTGCTGACCTGGCGCTGCACACAGCCAAGCGGCGTGGCCACACCATAGCCCGGCTGCTACCCCAGCTCCGGGCCCAGGTGTCAGAGCCATTGGCCCGGGCTGGTCTCAAACCCCTTGGCGTTGCTGCCGTGTCCACACTGGAGCCTGACCGCTTCGACTTTGCCTGGCTCGAGGATGTGCTGGTGCGTGAAGTGCTGCAGCTGCCCATGTGAGTGACCAGGGCTGAATGCCTGGGTTTTCTGAGTGGGGAGCAGTGGGGGCTGGGGGCCTGGACACCTGGGTTCTCCAAATGGAGGAGTAGGCTCTGGTGGGTGAAAGCAGTGGGACATGGGAACCCAGATGCCTGGGTCCTAGCCCCTGCCTCCCTCCCACTGCAGGTTTGACCCTGGGGACCTGCTGGAGGAGCTGCCAGCTGTGCGAGAGCGGACGCTGCGGGCACTGACTGAGGCCTGTGCTGGGGGCAGCCTGGCCGAGGCCCCTGGCCTGCTCCGCGCCGCACTGGCTGATGCCTCCCAGCTGCCCGTGGATGTGGCCGTGGTGGGCCAGCCCGGCTCAGGCCATACCTCCCTCATCGCTGCACTGTGCGGCGATGCCCCTGGCACCCACACGCTGCCTGGTGCCCCCGGCCTCACCCTGTGGGACCTGTCGGATGCAGGCACTGTGGACCCAAGCCGCTATGACCTGCTGTTGCTCACAACCTCCAACGTGTACTGCGAGCCCTTCATCCGCCTGGCCCGGGCAGCCGTTGCTGCTGGCCGGGCCCTCATCATGGCCCTGACACAGGTGGATGTGGACCTACGTGACCCCCCTGGCTCTGTGGGCCTGAGGGAGCAGCTGGTGCAGGAAGGCCTAGCTGAGACCCGCGTATTCCTGGTATCCTCCCACGAGCCCCAGGCTTTTGAGCTGGGCCGGCTGCGGCAGGCACTGGCCGAGGAGGCTGCGGGGCTTCAGCGAGCAGCACTGCCAGTCATTATTGGGCGCCTGGTGCGCAGGGAGCGGCGCCAGGTGCTGGCTGAGGCCTGGCGCCAGGCACTACATGTCTGCCTGCGCCCCATGGAGGATGCTGGGCATGGCCTGGCTACAGCCCTCCAGGCCAGCGCAGCCACCTTCGGGCTGGATGAGGCCTCCCTCACTCGTATGGCTATAGCTGCCAAGCTGGAGCTCCGGGAACTGCAGGCCCAGATCAGGTGCCCCTGGGCGCAGATGGTGCAGCCCAGCATGGTGCTGGAGGCTATGGCACCGTCACCGTCCCTGGCTGCCCGGCTCTGGAGCTACGTGCCCTTCTGGGGCAGCCCGTCCGTGCCCCAGCCCCAGGTGACACTGGAGACAGCCTACCGTCTGCTGAGCCAGGCGGCAGTCGAGATGGCCCTTGATGCTGAGCGTGTGCTGCTGCGGGCCTGCACCCTGGGGTAGGGGCAGGACCCAGGTCGGATGCAGCTGGCTCTGGGGTGGAGATCAGGGCTGGGTGTAACAGGGCCTAGGATGCTGCTGGCTCTGGGGTGGTTCCCCTCGTCCAACAACATGACAGCGTTCCTTTATGTCTCAGGGGTCACGCCGATCCCATCCCAGGGTCTTGCACCCATACGTGTCTGTGTCCTGCCTATGGGCCGTGGGGGTCTGCTGCATGTGCCCCCCTGTGGCCCCTGCCTGTGGCCTCTGCAGAGCCCCGGAGCTGCTTCTGTCTGTTGAAATAAATGTTTTGCTTCCACTTGTGGCTGCCACCTCATTTCGTGGTCCCTTGGATGCGGCAGGTGGTTGCAGTGCATTGTGGGACAGCACTCTTTGCACCCCAGTGCATGGAAACTTGAACTGGGTGGGAGGAAGGTCTGTGCCCCAGTGCATGCTTGGAAAGAAGGGAAGCTGGGGGCTCTGTGCCCAGTGTATAATGGGGATCTGGGGTCTCCCTGCCCCAAGGGGCCACACTCAAAGGCAACTAGGAGACAGCCACCGCGGTGCAACCTGGGATCACGGTGGTGGGGCACGTGGCGCCCCCTGCAGGCGGCCTGAGACCAGCTAGCAAGACTGAGGCTGCATCGCGCATGCGCTGGGAACCAGGGCAACGCCAGGGCGCACGCGTACGATCCTGTCTGGAGTCCGCCATTACTGGCAGCCTGCGGCGCATGCGCACAATCCTCGTCTCTAGTCAGGCGCAATGTCTGTCTAGTTGTGCGCACGCGCTACTGGATGCAGCCTGCGGTAAAGGGCTGCCAGGTGGCCACTCCATGTCTGTGAGGTGGCCACAGAGGTGCCTGATTAGGAGCAGCGACGTTTCCACGCGTGAGGGGCGCAGCCCACTCACTCACAGCACCGGGAGGGACCCCTGCCCTGAGACAAAGCCGGCGGGACCGGCCAGAGGCCACAGAGCCTCTAGAACCGGGACGACTGATTTTCTTTTCCGCTCAGGGGCTGGATAGGGCAGCCTCGCCGGAAATAGGGCGGGGTTCTGGCTGGGGCAGGCACCGGAAACAGGAAGTAGGAGATGAAAACGGGGGAGGGGAAAGCAGGGAGAGAGAGGAGAGGAGAGAGGTGAGATACATGGGGGGCTCGGTCCACGGGTCGCGTGGGAGGGGGGCGCCGCGGGGGAGAGGGAGCGGGTACATGGCGGAGTCAGGGGACCCCTTTGTTATTGGGGAGGGGGAGGAGGGTTCTGGGGGGCACTGGG